GAAATTAACAGAAAAAAAAAAAAAAGTGAATGAACTGTAAAACTATTTACAAACACCTGGTCACTTTAACGCGGACTACTAAGGAAACCAATCTCACCAATCAGTACTTATACAGTGAGTTTGATACTCACTGTGTGTCCTTATTATTAAGGCAGGTTTTATACCCTTGACAGAACATGTGAGCAACGCGAGAAGAAAAGGCTTTTATTTAGAATCAAGAAGAGACAATTCAAATTCCTTTGACACAGAATGAGAAAAGAGGGCTTGGAGAATTTGACACTCACATGGCACATTGAAGGCTCGAGGGGAGGATGGAAATAGGATGTATTCTAATCAACGTCCTTGTATAAATGGATGCCAGAACAGGACATGGCAGGGATAATAAGAGAATAAGCATTGCTTATGACTACAAAGGATAGACAGCTGTGGAGAACCGTGATCAGTCACTCCCTGAAGGGGCAGGGTACGTAAAAAAGAGGTAGTTTTTAGTAGTTTTTTTACTTATATCTACGCTGTCACGTAGATATAAGTAATTTCAAAGCTACTTCAGCAATCTTTTGTGTGGCACTCGGCTAGTTTGAACATATAAAAATTTAATATATATATATATATATATATATATATATATATATATATATATATATATATATATATGATTCTTAAAGACGACTGACAAGGTGCTACGATTAAGCTTTTTTTATTTAATTTTTCTTGTTTTCGTACAAGTGTTTTCCATTCTGGACACAAAGTGTGTACAAAATGACCATTGTTTTATTTTACAAACACGGTCATCATATCACATTGTCTTCAGTAAAATGAATAGAGCTGATTGGCATTTATTTACATTTGTAAAAACAATACGCTAGATTTAGGGTTTCACAATACTGGCTTGAGGCATTTGGATATGTAGTCGCACTGATGAGCTGTGATATAGCGAAACAGTACTTTCTGCGAAGGACATAATTTAGCTCTTGAAAAACATATATTTCAATTGAGCACTGTTGAGTGACAAGCTAATTCTACAAACAACAGCCACCTGTGCTAATGCAAAACTCTTCAGTAAAATGAATTGAACCCTATGGCTGATTGGCATTTGTTTACATTCGTAAAAACAATATGCTAGATTTAGCTGCTTAACTCTGTCAAATGAAGATAGCTCAGTGGTAGAAAATCTGAATGATACCAAATCGGTTGGGTTTCAATCCTGGCTTGAAGCATTCGAATGTCTAGTCGCACCGAGGAGCTGCGAAACAGTATTGTCTGCGAATGATATATATATATATATATATATATATATATATATGTGTTCGTATGTATATATAATACAAATATTTTACTGTTAGTTCAGCCGATACAAAGCCTAAGAAATTCCAGTAAGATATCTTTATTCGTTTCTAAGATACAACGGTTCAGAGCTTAATCTAACAAATGGACAATTCTGCTTTTACACGATTTGGATAATTTTGCTATTACACTTGGTATATAAATATATAAAACACAGTATGATGAATTTGTTTATCAGTCACGCAACTTGGTATCGAGTTCTTAATAATGAAATTTTCAGGTGTTATGGTAACAGAAAATATTGCTCGGCACCAATAAATAAAGGATTGCTAATACATCACTTCTTTCATTGTTATCTTTGATATATTTTTTTTAGTTATAGTGAGTTCATTATAGACATAAAATTTCCACATTAATAATGCCTAAAATATAATTAATCTAAATGCAGAATTGTAGAAGTATTGCTGTGATTTTTTTTTACTTAACGAGTAACTTTTCTATCCTTCTTCAACTCTTTCAATCTCCTTTCTCCTTCCTTCATTCGAATATCGAAACTGGGAACCAGAAAGGAAAATCGAGTTTCCTCTCAACCCTGCCTACCATCATTGCCTTGAAAACACGATGATGGAATTGTCCAAACACCAGCGATCAAGAAAGCAATTTGCCAACAGCTTAGAGAAATGATAGCCATTCTAAAATGTCCCCGCGTCTTCATCGGCTAACGACACGTCAAACCCAGCCAAACGCGCCGTTTGCTTTCTAATATGTCGTCTGCTTCGTTTGGTTTTTCCCGCCTTTCCCTATCTCCTCGTTATATTTTGTCCTTGCGTACAGCTGTTACATAACTTGTCAGGTATTTGATAATTACCCCCGTCGCTAGACAGGTCTTGAGAAAGAATTGACAACAATAAGCATTTATTCAACTTTCCATAAAATCGGCAGATTGATTCTGCCTGTTTTTTTCTTATCGCAGTTTCTTGTCATATTTAGCAAATAACCGAATACAGCCAATTTAAAGGCATATTTCCTTCGAGCAGAAATATTAAAGACATATAATTCGACTGAAAATCGGTCAGTAAAAGAAATTTATTCATGAGCCAATTACAATAAATATCTTCATATAAATAAATCTATATAAAAGTAGGTACCTCCACTGATTCGCTAAAAAAGTAGCATACCATGACAAAAAAGTGCCCCAAACTTAATAAAAACAAAGTTTTCTCGTCAGAATTTTTATGCAATTATTATGAAGAAAAACCAAAGGATTTTCTGATTTTTAAATTATATTTTACAGATCTTGCTAAAATCCGGACTGCCGATTTTTTTTTTTTTTTTTTTTTTTTGTTATCACAGTTCGGGAATCCAAACAATGGACGACAGCAAAAACAACACATCTTTTAAATGAAACATATAAAAGGTTATTTTCTGAAGGAAAAGTAAGATGTCAGTTGAAATAAAATTTATATATTCTTTTTAGAAATATACAATAACAATAAAATGTTCAATTTTCCTTGCAGTTAAATTTATTTTATAAAGCAATCAAATGTTCGTAGTTTTGTTTGAGATGTGTGGACAGACTTACTTTATGAAGATCGGCCTAACGTGTTTGTGAGTTCGTAGACAAAGACTTAGTAGACAGTTGCTAGTTAATCCCTTCTATTGTGTGCGTGGACAAGGCTTTAGTCAGCGGCTGTAAGTTGTCTCTCTCCCATTGTGTGGGCGCGCGTGTGTACGCACGTGTAGATCAAAATAGCCTCCAAAATTGTTTTGAGCCTCGAGAAGCAGTACTTTTCTATTTACAAACTTTTAAATCTTTTAAATTCTGTATTTTAAATTCTAAGGAGGAGGAATAATGGATAGGGACTCGGATTGAGGAATCGGAGAGCCGAGTTCGAATTCCAGTCGAATCCATTATATTCACTTACGTGCTAATACCCTTGGGAAAGGTATGAATCCTCTTCTCCCCCCAGCTATGGGTAAATAGCAGGACATATAGGGTTCTGTAGCCTTGCGTGGCAACCGGTCTAGGAGAATGTAACTTTGAATTCAAAACCGTCCTGGAGAGGTTTTGGCTTGGTCAGGCTATTCTGCCCCCAAAACAACACTTCTTCCGCGGCTGCAGTACATGTAGTGTCCCCTACGCCCTGGACGAGTCACAGGATTAGCGATCGAACAATCGATTAATTCGTAGCGGAAAATGACATTTTTATTAAAGATAAGTCTGTATTTACTAATCGTAAATAGAAAACTTACTACAATTCAACAACCCCAATATTTTAAATAGAATTTTGAATTTTTTTTGTGTATAAACGTGCCGATTTTGTAAATACGGATGTTCATATGCGATATTATCTGTGCAATTATGTAATTAGTTAACAGTTCTTCAACAAGTTAGATTATGAATCCAAAGTACTTAAAATTCAATAAAATATTAAAATACTTAGAATATTTTCTTAAATTTTTAAAATTTCTGTGTAATTAAAAAAAATTATAGAAAAAAGGCATTCATCAAATTATTATAACAGTTTTTTATGCAATATTTAAAAATTAAAGTAAGTCATATTTTTCAAATCAGATTAATTAAACTTTATTTTCAGCTAATCTTTCTCAAAGAGACAGTTGAAATTTCTAAGGCACATAATGAGGAAAGACGGCTTGGAGAATTTGATATTCACAAAACAGGCTGAAGACAAGAAGGACATGGGAAAAGAACGCGTAATCTACCTAGAGAGCTTGTGCAAATGGATGTCGGGGCAAACTTTAGGAGTTCTAATAAATAGACAAAATTTATTAGGCGCTACAAAGGAGTGGAAATTGTGGAGAGCCATGATAGCCTACGTACTGAAGATACAATGCATATAAAAGAAGAATATTCATCAAATAAACTTTAAAAAACTTATAATTTATATTTTAATTATTTCTTAATCAAAAGAATTGCTTGTCAATATAGATGATTCTAGCGTTTTTACTGGTAATAAAACAAAAATCATTCCAATCCATAGCTGTCTATATTTCTGAGATAAAGAAGAAGACCGGAGCATACAATGGCCGAAATGTCGTGAATATGGCAACAAAGCTGAAGACAACAGACCGAACAATGGAAATAGTGTAAATAATTACAATACCTCATCTCAGAAATTGAGATATATCCTGAAGAAGGCCAGAGTGTACAACAGCCGAAATGTCGTGAATATGGCAACAAAGCTGAAGACAACAGACCGAACAATGGAAATAGTGTAAATAATTACAATACCTCATCTCAGAAATTGAGATATATCCTGAAGAAGGCCAGAGTGTACAACAGCCGAAATGTCGTGAATATGGCAACAAAGCTGAAGACAACAGACCAAACAATGGAAATAGTGTAAATAATTGCAATACCTCATCTCTGAAATTGAGATATATCCTGAAGAAGGCCAGAGTGTACAACAGCCGAAATGTCGTGAATATGGCAACAAAGCTGAAGACAACAGACCAAACAATGGAAATAGTGTAAAATGATTCCAATCAATTGAAATTCAGTTTGAAATACAGCAAAGTATATTGGAAATATTAAATTTAATCTATTAGCTTGAAATTAAAACTAAAATTAAAGCTTCAAGGGCGACATTTCATTTCAAAGAATGCATTCTCAAAATTAGATATCGTTTTTCTTTGACGATATCTACATAAGAAAAAATAGAAGGAAAGTAAAAAAGAAAAGGAGAGAAGGGCTGTTATGAGAAAGAGACAGAAAAAGAGAAGAGGGGAAAAGAAAGAAGAGAAGAAAGAAGAAAGAGAGAAGGGGCGAAAAGAAAGAAGAGGAGAAAGAGATAAGAAGCAAAAAGAAAGCAGAGGGTAAAGAGAGAAGAGGTGAAAAGAAAGAAGGGAAGAAAGAGAGAAGAGGCGAAAAGAAAGAAGGGAAGAAAGAGAGAAGAGACGAAAAGAAAGAAGGAGAGAAAGAGAGAAGAGGCGAAAAGAAAGAAGGGAAGAAAGAGAGAAGAGACGAAAAGAAAGAAGGAGAGAAAGAGAGAAGAGGCGAAAAGAAAGAAGGGAAGAAAGAGAGAAGAGACGAAAAGAAAGAAGGAGAGAAAGAGAGAAGAGGCGAAAAGAAAGAAGGGAAGAAAGAGAGAAGAGTCGAAAAGAAAGAAGGAGAGAGAGAGAGAAGAGGCGAAAAGAAAAACGGGAAGAAAGAGAGAAGAGTCGAAAAGAAAGAAGGGAAGAAAGACAGAAGAGGTGAAATGAAAGACGGGTAGAAAAAGAGAAGAGGCGAAAAGAAAGAAAGGAAAAGAAAGATAGATAAAAAGAGATGATCTCATATGCAAAGAAAAAACAAAGACGGAAAGGGGGGAGGAAGAGAAATCAAGAAAGCCTCCCTTCCTCCTAACAAAAAAGGGATCGTTAGTGAGAAATATTACCTATTTATAAGGAAAAACAAATTAGAAAATAGTGTGTAAGAGAAAAGAAAGTTAAAATAGCAAGGTACAAAAAGAAAAAGCTTGAAGGACTGTCCATATATGTGACTGAATCCATTTGTAAGGTTTTAAACGTTCTACTCGTTAATTGTCATTAAGAAGGACTGTGTCATTCTAAACATTTGATCTTGCGATGATTGTCATTCGCCCTGGACACAGTGTCGCTCGTCATTGTCACAGACACACGCTATAGCGAATTCCCCATTACCATTGCTTTCTTTCGTATTCGAATTCAAATCCCTTCCCCGCCGGTCGTGAAACTGGGTCCCGAATTTTTAATCCCTACTAACGCCTCGTCTCCTCGTGTCGCTTCCATAATTAATTAGGAAGCACTGCGGGTTGAAGCATGAAGTCAAATCGGCACGTACGAATGACGTCGCGTTTTGCCTCGTTTTCATTTTACTTTCCTATCCGCCAGTCAGATTATTTCTGGTCCAATTCGGCGTTGTCCAACTGATGAGGGTTATTTTAGGGGGATTTTCTTTAATTTCCATTCTCTTAAGATCGGCTCTGAAACAACCGAGACGCCTCAGCCCCATTTGCCTTTTCGACTTTTCTCTTTCTTTCTCAGAGCGCTCTCGTTGGACTGAGATTAACTATTATTTGGGTGCGGATAAAAAAATAGAGAAGCAGTTTCAGAATGAGCGGGTAAAGAAATGAGATAGATAGATAGATAGATAGATAGATAGATAGATAGATAGATAGATAATGAACCCATTGAGATAGATAGATAGATAGATAGATAGATAGATAGATAGATAGATAGATGAACAGACTGAAATAGATAGATAATGGACAGGCTGAGATAGATAGATAGATAGATAGATAGATAGATAGATAGATAGAACGATTTGAGATATATGAACAGACTAAGATGGATAGATAAAGAACCGACTGAGATAGATAGATAGATGGATACATAGATAGATATGAATAGACTGAGATAGATAGATAGATAGATAGATAGATAGATAGATAGATAGATAGATAGATAGATATGGAAATGGGATAGATAGATAGATAGATAGATAGATAGATAGATAGAGATATAAACAGACTGAGATAGATAGATAGATAGATAGAACGATTTGAGATATATGAACAGACTAAGATGGATAGATAAAGAACCGACTGAGATAGATAGATAGATAGATACATAGATAGATATGAATAGACTGAGATAGATAGATAGATAGATAGATAGATAGATAGATAGATAGATAGATAGATATGGCACGGGATAGATAGATAGATAGATAGATAGATAGATAGATAGATATGAACAGACTGAGATAGATAGATAGATAGATAGAACGATTTGAGATATATGAACAGACTAAGATGGATAGATAAAGAACCGACTGAGATAGATAGATAGATAGATAGATAGATAGATAGATAGATAGATAGATATGAACAGATTGAGATAGATAAATACAGACTGACAAACACATGCACACATAGATAGACAGATATATAGAAAGAGAGCGAGAGAGAGGGGATAGAGGGGGAGAAGTAGATAGAGGGCAGAAAGAGAGAGAGAGAGAGAGAGAGTTTGATATCAACATACCGGGATATATATGTACAGAATTGGGTAGATGCACATATACGAACGCAGACAGATAGATAGATAGATAGATAGATAGATAGATAGATAGATAAGGATAAGAATGAAATAGATAGATAGATAGATGGATAGATAGATAGATAGATAGATAGATAGATAGATATGAAGAGACTGACATAGTTATATAATACGTAGATAGATAAGAATAGATATAGGTAGCTATAAACAGTCATAGATAGATAAATAGAGATAGATATATATGAAGATAGATAGATAGATAGATAGATAGATAGATAGATAGATAGATAGATAGATAGATACAGACTGACAAACACATACAGAGATGGGATACATAGATAGATAGACAGATAGACAGACAGATAGAGAAAGAAAGAGAGAGACAGTCAGACAGACAGAGGGAGAGAGAGAGAGAGAGAGAGTTTGATATGAACATACCGGGATATATGGACAGAATTAGGTAGATGCACATATACAAACATAGATATGAAAAGACTGAGATAGATGCATATGAACAGGTATAGATAGATAGACAGACAGATAGACAGACAGATAGATAGATAGATAGATAGATAGATAGATAGATAGATAGATAGATAGATATGAACAGATATAGATAGATAGGTAGATAAATAGATATGAACAGACTGACAGATCGTTACATAATACATAGATAGATATGATAGACATAGATAGATATGAACTGTCATAGATAGATATAGATCGATATATATGAACAGACATAAATAGATAGATAGGTATGAGCAGACTGAAATAGATACATAGATAGATAGATAGATAGACAGATAGATAGATAGATAGATAGATGAATGAAAGATGGAGGAGGTTTTAAGTAACCGATAAAGTTGATTGAAATTTTTTTGTAAGTCTCTTATCATAAAAATGAATCCATTATTCGAAATTCCAATGAATGAGAAAATGACGAAACCCAGTCTTGACATCGATAATTCTTTAACGTTATTATATCTGATTCAATAACTATTGCTCTTGTGAAATATCGATCACTTTACAGCCAGACATTCTGTTCACTTTGATATACCTTAACTTATATATTTTTTTCGTATATTAATCACGAAAAGGGGCTATCACTTTTAATATTTTCTTTACCACAAGAGAAACGCCGTACAAAAGTTTTAAAATGAATTTAAAAATGAAAAGTCTTTCTTGAAGCTTTTTAGTTATAATTTTAAGCCGAGAGATTAAATTTAATATTTCCAATAAGCAAAATACTTTGCTGTATTTCAAAACTAATTTAAATTGACTGGAAGGAGTTTTAGATTGAAATTGCTAAAATAGCTATTTCTTATCCATCTGTCAACGTGGTGTAATTCTCTTAAAAATCTTTCAAAAATAAAATATACTTTTCTGAAACTTTAGTTGTAGAATTTTAGCACATTTAAATTATTATTAATCAGGTCTTAACAAAATATTACTTTAAGTTTCAAATATCACAGGAATGCATTTTTAACACGGTGGTAGCTGTTTAATTACGGTGTTCACTTGTTGACAGCTTGACTGATAGATGGAAGTTTAACTAATTTTGTTCTACAGTGCATTTATCTGTAAAAATTACTTGAGGAATATAACGTGAGCGCCTTTTTACATTTTTAGAATTTTTAACTACCCAATATTCTTTAAAATTTAGGAAAATAATCTTTTATTGAATTTTAGGTACTTTAGCTTGAATTTTACGATAGTTATTGATCTTGTTTTCTGATAATGTTATGTATGGTCATCCGTATTTACAAAAATCGGCACGTTTAGACACATACAAAAAATTCAAAATTCATTTTAAAATATTGGTGGTCGTTAAATAGAATATTGGTGATTAGTAAATATAGTTGCGTCCTGTGTAAGACGATAAACTACGTCCGACAGCAAGGAATCTGATCAGAAGGTTTTGACAAGCGTGGAATCACTTCTTAATTACTGGTGTTCCCAAGTCCACCCTGACCCGGAGTGGTGGCACCTGTTAGGGTCCCAACTATGGGAAAAATAGTTAACCACCAAACTGGGGTTAAAACATTATGAAAGTGTAAAAGTAGGTTTTAATAGCAGAAATAGTTGTAAAAATTTTTTACCAGCAATATATTTCAATATATATATATATATATATATATATATATATAAGACACAAATACTAATATTCTATGATTATAATTTATTACATTGGAATCGTAAATTATAACCATGGAATATTAGTGTTTAAGCCTTTTATATTATATTCTTACTCTGTCCTGGACATTTAATTCTACCTGGATTCTATCCTCTTGAGAATTTTTATATATATATATATATATATATATATATATATGAAATGGACAAAGTCCGACAATCATTTTAAGACATTTTTATGTCTATACATTCTTTTTATAGATACAAATATCTAAGTAAATGCTCTGTTTATAATAAACAGTAGTATACAACATTTACAGGCCTGAATGTCCGAGAAATTTTCACAGAAAATATTCGTCCTCCGAGAGGATTCGAACCTGTATCCTATACAGGACCGTCATTTAGCTTGACGTGCCTTTACATAATGTGTGACGTCATTTGTTTACATTTGATACGCCATGAGCAGACATAAATGTACGTGAGAGATTCATAGAAGACTGAAGTTCAAATGCAGTAAAATCGAACTTGCTAACCGAACGCTCCTCTGTGGCCAAATCGGTAAAGGCACGTCAAGCTAAATGACGGTTCCGTATACGATACAGGTTCTAATCCTGCGAAAATTTCTCGGACATTCAGGCCGGTAAATGAATTTATCATAAACAGATTTTTACGTAAATATTTTATCTATAAAAAGAATGTATAAACATAAAAATGTCTTAAATATATATTAGGTTGTTGCAAAAATGATGACGTAATAATGTCGTTTTTTTACGTTAAAAAATACGTCAAAAACGACATTATTACGTCATTATTTTTGCAACCAACTTATATATATATATATATATATATATATATATTACCAGGAATATATTTTTTTAAAAAAAATATTACCAGCAATAATTTTTTGTCGGCATTAAATAAACCCATTAAGGTTGATATACCGTAAAAAAAACAAAACAAACAAATATAATTTTTTTATTTAATAACAATTTCAGGTAACCGTGAAACATTAATACGAAATTTTAAAAGATTTAAAACTCGATACATTATTATAATTTAAATTTTAAAAAGTGAAAACAATTCTTGTAAGAATTCATTATTCATTGAATATTTTTCTTAAGACAACGATGTCCATAATATATCTTATTCATAAAAGCAATTAAAATCTTTTCTAAGTAAATAATGACTTTGTTCTAATATATTCTTTATGATTCAGAGCAGATTTTCTGTAAATTGGGATCCCGTTCGAGCAAAAAAAAAAAATCATGATTTTAATTCTCCAAGGACTTGTCCCAATAACAAATATAACCATTATGCCCTGCAGAAATGAATTTCTCGAAATTTCATGGGAGGAAATAGATGTAAGAAAATATATTTTTATCAAGATTTTCTTAAAAAAAAAAAAAAAAAAAGAAACATTTCTAAAATAATTTCATTCATTTTTGAATAATTTCTGAAAGTTTCATTGAAATCTGACAATTTTCAAATTTTTGAACGAATTCCTAAATCAATGTTTTTTTTTTCATTGCAATAAAGTCGCTCAGAATTGTCATACTAATTTACAGTCGCTAGCTGACGCAAGACGCAAAAACATTTTTAACAAAAATATCGAACGTTCTAAAGAGAATCTAAAAGTATAATTTAATAATAAAAAAAATCCTTTCGTCTTTCTACTTTATACTAACAAATATTTTGACGAAAAAACTGTTTTTTATTAAGTTTGGGGAATTTTTCATCATGCTCTTTTTTAGCGAATCTTTGGAGTTATTGCCTATGTATCTACCTAATAATATATATATATATATATATATATATATATATATATATATATATATATATATATATATATATATGTATATGTATATGTATGAAGAAAAATATACGGAAAAACAAACAAAAATCCTAATATGCAATTATGCTGTTTTAATGTTAATATAATGTCAACGTCGGACGTTTCGGTCTAATAGACCATCTTCAGGACACATTCATAAAACATAATTAACATTAGACTATACTCAATTCAACATGAAAAAAGACGATGGACATAAGAGCACGACTAATCCAAACAGATAACTGACATTTTTATAAGATCAGCGTTCCTTTTTAATATGATCACGTCGTCGTCACGTGGGCGATGTTGTGAAAATGTATTCGAAGATGATTTCAAAATATTAGATAAGCTCGATTGAACGATTTTCTCATATAAACAGTTCGTTAAGAAATCCTTTCCGTTCTTATATTAGGATATTTGTTTGTTTTTCCGTATATTTTTCTTCATACTGTCGGATCTATATCCATATATTTGCTTATATATAAATATATATATATAATTTTATCATATAGACAAAACTATTTTACTCACTAAAAGATGCAACTTTGTTTCAGTGCATTAATGCTGTGAACGTTGTAATTTATATATTACTTTCGTTCTCATCGCATCGGGGATATATATTTTCATATATATATATATATATATATATATATATATATATATGAATAGTGTATGCATATAAATATAAATATATATATATGTGTGTGTGTGTGCGCAATATGTTGTATATATTATTTATATATTATATGCGTGGTACTTAGTGAAAGCGCTCAAAATCAGAGATAGAGCTAACATATTTAGTTGGATTGATGCGCGTGTGTATGTGTGTCTGTGCACATCAGTGGGTGTACGGGCGTGCATCTATGTCTGCATAAGTATGAGTGGCGTCACGACGACAATTTTTCCTCCCACTTCCATAAAAAACACCAATTAACGCAACCCTACATAAATCACAAATTCTTAAAAATTAATCAGTTTCTCTGACGATCGCAAAAGCGTGAAACCCAGAGTCACAAACTCACATCAATCCAACTCTCTCTCTCTCTCTCTCTATATATATATATATATATATATATATTCAACACTATCACTTGGTAAGACAACAGAAGTGATGAAACAAAATGGCTATTTTTGTAGTGATTTTATAACATATTTATGTTATAATTTTAGAATAAATTATATTTAAATAATTTTTAAGAATAGTATTTTGGTTATTGGAATTTTATTTGTATACACCAATCTATACTTTGTATATATATATATATATATATATATATATATATATATATATATATATATATATATATATATGTATATGTATATATGTATATGTATATATGTATATATATATATATATATATATATATATATATATATATATATATATATATATATATATATATATATATATATATATATATATATATATATATATATATATATATATATATATATATATATATATATATATATATATATATATATATATTAATTAAATATAACAATTAATGAATGTCTATCATGTTTGATAAAAAAGCCGTTCGAAACTTTGGAGAGTTGTTTTAATTTCAGAAAGAAAATAAAAAAAAGGACCAAAATTTGGATATTTTTTATTCTCCTCTCCTTTGATCTAAGCTTTTGGCTCACATGAGCCATCTTCAGAGTGGTTTTTGGGATATTTAAATAACGACATTCACCATCAAAAGCCGAACGCTTAGATCAAGGAACAGCCTAATAAAAATATCCAAATGTTGAATAATTTCTGTTTTTTATTTTTTCCCGAAATTAAAGTTAAACTTTTTATAAAATTAAGAATGGCTCATGATCAAAATAATAGATATTCATTGTCGGTTATATTTAATAAATATATTTTTGAATAATGATCTTTGCCAATAATGCAATATATATATATATATATAATGAAATGGACAA